TAAAGTTAGGGTGTGAGTGAGGCTGAGTTTGGAGGTGATTGTGAACTTGCATGATAAGATCAAGTTGTGAATTATGGTTAACATTAGGTTTACAGCTAAGCTTCAGCTTAAAGTTAAATTTAGGATTAGAATTTGTGTTAGATTTCAGTTTAGGTTGGGGTGAGTTTGAGGATGAATATTAGGTTGAAGGTGAGTGTTAGAGTTATAATTAGATTCTGTGTTAAAGTTGGAATTAGGATGAGAATAAAAATAAGTTTGAGATAAAAAATAAAAAGTTGTATAAATCAGTGAATTCGTCAGTGTCCATAGATCTGTGTAATCAGCACTCATCAAAGAATACAATATTAGCAGCATCCCAACACCTCCTCTGGCCACTCTAAGCAATATATTCTTTGAAATAGTGACCAATATCCAACTAGAGAGTAATGGTACCTGTTTTTGGAATATTTATAATAATTATGTATATTGGTCCAGTCTCCATTTTTACACATTATAACATCTACTCATGATTACTGTGTAGGGTTTTAGTTCAAAATCCTCACTGCTGTAGTGTTTCCTTTTATTAATATACCATAATTTCTTTATCCATTTTTGCATTGAGAAAATTTTGGGATAACCTGTCTATAGCAAATGATGTTCCTATGAACATTGAAGTACTTGTGTCTGCTTAATGCAGTACTTTTTAAAATTGGGTTTATGCTCAGTGGATTGAGTGTCAGCTTGTGAACCAAAGGTCATGGGTTCATTTCCTGATCAGGGCACATGCCTGGGTTGCCCATGGGGGCCAGGTCCCCAAGTGGGGGCATGTGAGACAGAACCATTTAATGTTTCTCTCCCTCTCTTTCTTCCCCACTTCCCCTCTCTGTGGAAATAAAATAAATAAAACTTTAATTAAAAAGAACAGGTTCAAGACTTCTTAAAATGGAAAAAAACAATTCTGAAAACCTTGAAAGTGACTTTTAATATATCAGGATTTAATTTGCACTCTGATAATGACATTGACCATTTTTTCATGTCTACTAACCATGTACATTCTATTTGGAGAAGTGTCTAATCAGCTTCCTCATCAATGTTTTTAAATTGGATTGCTTGTTTTTGGTGTTCAGTATTCTACATTGTTTACAAACTTTGGATATCAATACTTTGTGAGATATGTTGGTGAATTTCATTACTTTTCACTTGCCACCATTGTGATTTTATCATGGGCTATTTTACCTAGTCACCTTGGGGACATTCAGTCACTGAGGGAATGAGGAATAAAATGTGAGGGAGGGGAAAGCTGGCTGGCTTCCCCTCCTCCCCCAGAGGCGTCCCATTTCTATGCAAAACTCTAGATTATTTCTCATCGAAGAGTCTAGTGGTCTCTTACTCATGTGCCTCTTCCCATTTTTTTTTTTTTGGTGGATATTGTGCCCAGACGGAATGAGAACATGGGTGCACACCTGCCTTTTGTCCTGTAACTTAGTCTACACCTGCATGCCATGTAGGGAAGTGATCCAGGTGACAGAATACGTGAGGTTGGGGACCGAAGCAGAGTGGTAGGGAAGAATCATGCAAGGATCCCCACAAATGTGGCCCTCATCTCTTCTTGCTTCTTTACCCCCAAATCTACTGTGACCATGCCCTCATATATTGTGTCTACTCTATCATAGTCCATGAGAGGCAGTTTGGTGTACAAGGAAGCAGATGGGAGTTTGTCACCACAGGCCTAGTGGGAGTAAGCCACACTTCATTTTTATTACTGTGTTTTTAAGCACAACACTTGCTTTTCAAAAAAAATAAAAAGATTACTTTAAAGCTGTTTTCTTTAGCCATTGCAGAAGCTTTTTAATTTGATGAGCTTCCATTTGTTTATTCTTTCCTTTATGTCCCTTCCTCTAGGGGCCATATTGGTTAAAATTTTGCTGCATGGAATGTCCGAGATTTTCCTGCCTATATTCTCCTCTAGGACTTTTATGGTGTCATGACTTATTTTAAGTCTTTTATCTACCTTGAATTTATTTTTGTGTATGGTGTGAGTTGGTAATCAAGTTTCATTTTTTTGCATGTAGCTGTCCAGATATCCCAACACCATTTGTTGAAGAAGCTACTTTTACTCCATTTTATGCTTCTGCCCACTTTGTCAAATATTAATTGACCATAGACACTTTGATTTATTTCTGGGCTCTCTATTCTGTTCCATTGGTCTATGTGTGTGTTCTTATGCCAGTACCAGGCTGTTTTGATTACAGTGACCTTGTAATAGACTGTGGTATCAGGTATTGGATTCCTCCTACTTTGTTCTTCTTTCTCAAAATTGTTGCAGCTATTCTGGATCATTTATGGTTCCATACACATTTTTGAAATGTTTGTTCTATATCTGTAAAATATGTCATTGGTACTTTAATAGGGATTGTGTTGAATCTATAAATTGCTTTGGGTAGTATGGACATTTTGATAATGTTAATGCTTCCAATCCATGAGCATGGTACATGTTTCCATTTGTTTGTATTTTCCTTAATTTCTTTCTTCATTGCTGTGTAGTTTTCTGAGTACAGGTCTTTTACATCCTAGAGCAAAGGACATAAAGTATAGAATAAACAAATGGAAACTCTTCAAATTAAAAAGTTTCTTCATGGCTAAAGAAAACAGCATTAAAATGAAAAGAGAACCAAATTATATGGAAAAACATATTTGTTAATGATACCTTGGACAAGAGTTTCATCTCCAAAATATATAAAGAATTCACACAACTCCAAGAAGGCAAACAACCCAATTAAAAAATGGGCAAAAGTATTGAACAGACACTTCTCCAAGAGGGACCTACAGAGGGCCCAGAGAAATATGAAAAGATGCTCAGCATCTCTAGCCATCAAAGAGATGAAAATTAAAACCACAGCGAGATACCACTTCACACTGGTGAGAATGGCCATCATAAACAAATCAACAAACAATGAATGTTGAAGAGGATGTGAAGAAAAGGGTACCATAACACACTGTTGATAGGAAAGCAGACTGGTGCAGCCACTGTGGAAAACAGTTCAGACTTACCTCAGAAAACTAAAAATGGAACTGCCTTTTGACCTGGCAATTCTATTGCTAGGATTACATCATAAGAGCCCTGAAACACCAATCCAAAACAACCCATCCACCCCAATGTTCATAGCAGCACAATTTACAAAGCCAAGTGTTGGAAGCAACCTAAATGCCCACCAGTAAATGAATGGATCAAAAAATTATAGTACATTTACACATTGGAATGCTATGCAGCAGAAGGAAAGAAGGAGCTGTTACCTTTTGGGTAGCATGGATAGAAGTGGAGAACATCATGCTAGATGTAATAAGCCTGACACTGGGGCACAAATACCATATGATCTCACCTTTAAGTGGAACCTAATCAACAAAGCAAGCAAGCAAGCAAGCAAAATATAACCAGAGACATTGAAACTAAGAAGAGTCTGACAGTAACCAGAGGGGAGGTGAGAGGGGATGATGGGGTGAGGGGGGATAGGGTTTTCAGGAACAACTATAAAGGACAAATGGACAAAACTAAGGGGGTTGGAATTAGGGGAGAGTGGTGGGGATGGTGGGGTGGGATGGAGAGAGTGGTGGGGGTAAATGCAAACAACTGTAATTAAACAACAATAAAGTTATTTTAAAAAGAAATATATATATATTACACATTTACTGATTTTGAAGACAAAACTGAAGAAAGAGAAACAGATAGTGAAAGAGAAACATCAATTTGCTGTTCCACTTATTTAGGCATTCTTTGGTCAATTTTTGTATGTCTTTTGCTCTGACTGGATCAAACCTGCAACTTTGGTGTACAGGGATGATGCTATAACCAATGGAGCTACCCAGACAGGGTTGGATTGATGAATTGTTTTAAGTTCATGGAACATTTCATCATTTATTTACCTTAACTCCAACACACACATATAATCCCTTCATTGCCCTCATGCTGTTTGTTATTGCTGTTGTTAAGGTAAGTAATGCTGAAATCCACAACCAACTGACATTATACCAAAGTTCTCTGCATCCATCCACTTGTCATCTTTGGGTTTTGTTGTGATATATGCAGACAGACTTCTCTTAAACTTGTACGCAGTCAGGTTTATTGATTAGTACCCGCTTGGCTTCCAGAGTTTGTGTTTATTCCCTGGAAAGATCTTCTTCTGCAGGAAATGATAGATTTAGGATGAGATGGGGGAAACCAAAGACAAGAGAGGAAATCAAGTGGGGATGAAGGAGGAGGATATGAGACCCTATACTTTCTGCAGTGAGGACTACATGCACTATACAGATTATGTTTCTTTGAGATGTAGACTTAAAAATCTATATGGATGTTTTGTTTTTAGGAGATCCATACAAGGATTCTTTATTTTATTTTTTTTTACTTTACTTTAAAATCTGTATGGTTTATTAATGTAAATACATGGAAGTAAATGCATTATTTAAATTAATGAATTTAAATACATTCAATATTTAAATAAACTCAATATTTTAAAAAGGATACAGTAAAATAAAAACGATTAAAAAGTTCATCCCTTATAGTCCCGTGAATACTTGCCTCATGTAGGTTTTACAGTCCTCAGGCACAGAAATTTTCCTAGGTCCTCCTGGGATCCCGAAAACGCCTGGGGTCTCACTGGGAAGCTTGGTCCTGCATGCTTCAGACTTCAGGGAGCTGTTTCAAATCCCTGATGCCCCGCGAGTCCCCTGTTTTGACTGATGCCACCCTAGAGATGAAGATTGTCCAAGTCCTGCTTCCGTTGTCAGGGTCGCAAGGAGCTTGCCCGGAGCTCCAGGTGGACACCCACCCCACCGCACGCTGTGGGCTGAGACCTGGGATCCCAGGTGTGTGGGGAAGAGATTGGTCCTCTGGGAAGGCATTGGGGACAGAAATTTTCCCTTCCCGTGATCCGGGTGCCTCCTGCGGATATTGGGGCAGTTGCCCGGCGCGCCCTGGCGGCTGTTTATATGTCGTTCCGTCCTTCTGGGACCCCGAAGGAGGCGATGTGGCCTCGGGGCAGGCGGTGGACTTCCAGCCGGCTGCCTGTGCTGGTGGCGGGATGGTGCCGGCCAAGCCTGGGCGTCGGTGCTCAGCCTGTTCCCTGGAGACTGGACCTGCAGGACTCTTGAGGGACTGGCTGCCCCCGCGTACAGCTGCCCCTGGTCGGGTTGAGCAGCACTTACAGGTACTGCCCCTCCTCCTTCGGTGGAGTGACTGCGTGAGCGAGAAGTTCCGCTGTGGAGAACTAGAGGGTGGTGGCTCCCACCCGCTCCGGAGGAGGTGCAGACTTACTCGGGGCATTAGGGATGGCGGGACAGGACGCCGTGCACCGCCCGCCTTTGCCTTCGGGGTCCGGCCGGCTGTGCACCGCGCCTCTGGGGAATTTTTCGAAGTCCCGCTGTGGTGCTGTGCAGAGACAGGCCCCCGCCCCAGGCCGCCAGTGGCCGCCTGCGGACCACCGGGCCCTCCCGCCTGTGCGCCTGGGAGGCGTTCGCTTTTTAGGTGTTTGCTTTTTAGGTGTTCTTTTTAAATTTATTTTTATTTCTTTATTTTTGCAAACTTTGAATGGCCACAGGCAAGTGAGGATGGAGGCAGCATGTTCAGCAGTAGAGCCTGCAAGACCCTGTAACCAGGTAAGCACCTGCTATGGCTGATCCAATAAAGCCATCCAAATCTATATGAAATATATTCTCTAACACCAGCTTTTCAGAGAAGCAAACTGAGGCTCAGAGAGATGGAGGGTGAACCCCAGGACACAATCTAGAAACGGGCAGAGTCACTATATGCCAAGGAATTGGCCAGAGCTCACCTAAGTAACTCACTGATCAAGAATAGCTGGGTGCTGATGAATGTCAGAAAAGTGAAAATGTAGGTAGTTGTATAAACAATGTTTCTCCACATTGTTTGGTACCATGGACAGTATGGGCACTTCTGCATTATGCCTTTTGGAGAGCCCTCAATGTGCAAGCCTCATCCACCGGCTAGCTGATACCATTTTCACAATCTGTGTTACAGAAAGGGACAGACTCTAAGCCACATCACAATGAACAACCAGAAGAATAAACATCTAGAGCTCACCAGCAACACCCAGCCTTTCAGGGGCATGTTTGGAAAACCACCTGAAACAAGATGAAAAAAATCTAAGCTATAAATGTATAATGTGAATTTAGTGGTGGGGAAAATTATTCCCTTCTAGGCATTTGTATTAGCTGAAGAACAACATACCTTCTTTTATGATTAGTCTGTATTAAGAGCATTTCTCCAGTAAGTCCATGACAAACAACATGATTATAGAAATAAGAAAAGAAAGGCTTAGAGATGATAGAAATAAGAAAAGAGAGGCCTGGAGATTTAACATGGCTTCCCAAGGAACTACAGGCTAGAACTAAATACACCTTAAAGTCTGGATGAACCACATTTTGTTTAAGCTCTGAGATTTGCTCTGTCTCTGAAATAGAGGGAAAAATCAGGAGAATGTCTTTCCTTCCTAATCTGGAGACAGTGCACAAGAACAACACTTCTTGAGTTCAAATCAAGATACCATTTGTTTTACTTTAAACTGAGTTTTGATATATTCATTAGGGAGATTCCAGACTTATAAAAGTGCCAAATACTTTAAGGTTCCAGGAAGAGAGATAGCCCATTCCAAGAAACAAATCTGTAGGGTGACTGAGGAAGGAAAAGTAAATTCTGCTGGCAAAATTAATTTTGCTGGTAAACATCTGATAAAAGAATGATAAATTTGTGTCAGGTTGGACTGAAGAAAGCAGGCACCATCATAGAGAGCTCATGACAATGTGACAGCTGCAGCATATTCTGTTTGGAATCAGGCTGTAGCTAAAAATATGAAAATATCTCACATGCATGTCTTTCTAACAGCACCTCCATCTGAATGAATGTACTTAGCTGATTCAGACTCTGAATTTCCTCTGAATTTCTGGTATTACTTTGGGGGGCTCAGGGACCTGCCTTGCAGGTGCATCAGGGTGGCACCCTTCCTGTCTTGCCTGCTGCTTCCTCTGCTTCTTTCTCTTCCATCTCTATCCTAGAGGACCTGCAGTACACAGCCTGCGCTAGGGACTCTGGTGCCTGCCACCCAGGGTTTTCGGCATCATAAATTGGAGAGGGGATTCTCTGGCTGCCTGGGCAACAACCCAAGGTACCAAGGTTGACCAGTTGGCTGAGCCTGGACTTAGACCTGTGCCCACAGCACCCATATTAACCAGCAGATCGTCCCCTACTTGCCAACTTGCTCACTTAACACTCTGCACACTGGCAGGTAATTGTTTCTCAATGTGGAGGGGGATGGAAGGCAGAGGCATTGTGTGGGGTAGGGCCACAGGGAGTAAATGTTAACACTTTTTAATTTTTCTGAATATGGCTGTTACAACAGCCTATTACATTCAGATGTACAATACAGTGGTTTACCCTTTACCTTGTTTACAATGCAGTCACCCCACAAAGTCTGTTCAGTTCTTCTCACCATGCAAACAGTTGACATTATCAATGTATACCTCTCTATGAAGAGAGAAAACATGTGACCATGCATCATGTCATCATCATTGCAGTGATTACCATTCCTATTACTATCGTTTGTGGATGTTTTGCAGAGGCATCGGCTACTACAAAACAAAGTGACCTTAGTCAAGTGTCTCTGTCCAAAAACGATGCCTACTTGACCTAGGATGATGCAGAGAGGGGGCATGCTTACCCTCAAGTATATTTCTTATTTCTTAAGACCTTATTTATTTATTTGTAGAGAGAGGGAAAAGGAGAGAGAAAGAGGAGTGAAACATCAATGTGTGGTTGCCTCTCACATGCCCCAAACTGGGGACCTGGCCTGCTACCCATGCTTGGGCTCTAACTGGGAATTAAACCTGCGACTCTATGGTTTTCAGACCAACACTCAATCCACTGAGCCAGATCATCCAGGGCTCTTCCAGGAAATTTCTAAAGGTCCAGGAACACTCTGCAGGTATAGGGAGTGGGAGCCCTGTGTGACATTTCTAAGTTCACCAAATGGCCCTGCATTGGCACTGTAGAAATATAGGGGAAGATTCATTACTTGACATGGTGAACATCCTCAACCCAGAAGCATTGGAACCGAAAAGGAAGGTAGAAAATACAGAGATAAGAGTGGAAGAGAGAATGAAGTATCCAAATCTCCCTTCCACTGCCATGATACTAGAGGAGGCCTCTCTGCTGAGATGCTGTAGGGCTAAGTAAGAACCCCAGTAGTCAGTCCCTGCCTGACTGGAGGCCACACTTTTCACTTCCAGAACAAAAATGTCGACCACATGGCTGGGGTGAGAGTGGGAGGAGATGATCAGGAATGAGGATGGAGGCAGGCAGGGAAATGGCACAGGGAAGGAGGGGATGGGACTCTCCAGGCATGGCAGTAAGTGGAAGGCAGGGTAGAGATTTGTGGTAAGTAGTCATAACAGCCATTGTCATTGATTTCATTTATTCATGTCATTTAGAAATGGCACATAGAAGTATCTTAAATATAAATTTCTTCCATGTATATGAAAAATGAGGTCACATCACTTTCAGAATCTTGATGCCTGAGACCTGCAGAGGTGTAAATTAGTGATTTCTTCCCACTCCTCTATATGCCTTTGATTTTAATTTCTGCCAAATGCCAGTGGTGGTATGGTGACTGTTCCTTGTTTAACTCCACACAGGTTATTTTTGTGCGTTCAGGGGAGAGAAAACATAAACTACAACAACAACAAAACACTCAGAATAACACTCATGCCCAGTGTCATTAGCTAAGTAGTTCCTCTGGCATTTTTTCTTTCCCTCCCTTTCTTGTCCTCCCCTCCCACCCCACTCCATCCTGTCCTAGCCCACTTCACACCACACTACCATTACCACCACCACTCTCCACAGCCCAGGACTCCAGACCATCCAATCTGCTGTCTACATCTAGAATTTAATGATTCTGGCTATTTCATGGGAATGGAATCATACTGTTTGTTTTCTGTGATGACTGGGCTCATTTCATATGGAACAAGTTTATCCCTACTCATAAACATTTGAGCAAGCATCAGTGCTTCATTCCTTTGTGTGACTTCAAAATTTCCCATCAGAAGACTTACATATTAAATAAATACTTGATCAAGTTTCCCACATGTTACCAAATATGAGACCAAGTCTTAGAAACTGTAAGAATCTCTAATGTGCTTCTCTGGGGTGTCTTCTCTGAAGGTCTCCCATGAGTCAGGGTAGGCTTCGGCCAGAATACCAGGGTTCTAACACTGGAGTTTTTTGACACATGTGATCTCAGATTTTGTGATATTAAAAAAATTAGGTGTCTAGAAAAACATTTTAAGAACAGAGGCAGATCTGGTATAAGACAGGTGGGGCTGGCATCAGTTGGAAGGCAGAAAGATGTGAGTGGGACTGTGGTCAGTTGGAATTCTGGAAAAGTTGGGTTAGAATGGCTTCAGTTTAAGTGTATTTTGTATATTGTTTAAGAGAGTGTTTAGGTCTCTTTTTAGCATGTACCTGTTCTGTTTTCTCAAGACCACTTGTAGAGAAGACTGTCATTACTCCAGTGTTTATTTTTGCTTCCTCTGTCATACATTACTTGTCCACAAAAGTGAGGATTTATTTCCGGGATTCCTATTTATTTCCATTTATCTTTGTGGGGGTTTTTTTTCAGGAGAAAATACCATGCTGTTTTTTAAATTATGTTTTTGTAGTGTGGTTTGAGATCTGGGATTATAATCTCTCCAATTTAGATCCTCTTTTTAAAGATCGTTTTGACTATGGGAGGCTTTTTTGGTTCCATGTAAACCTTAGAATTATTTGTTCCTGTTCTGAGAAGGAGAAAATTGTCATTTTGATAGAAATTGCATTATATCTCCAAATTACTTTGAAAAGTATAATTGTTAGTAAACAATTTACCCTTACCAATTTATGAGTGTATATTACCCTTCTATTTTTATGTGTGTCCTCAACTTTTTTCTGTCGAGTCATACTTTTGATACTACCTCACCTCTTTGGTCTCTCACCTCTTTGACTTTATTAATTTCTAGACATTTAATTATTTCCTTTCAGTTGTAACTAGGATGATTTTATTTATTCCTTCTTCAGATTTTTGTTATTAGTGTATAGACATGTGACACATTTCTGTATATTATGTTTGCATTTTGATACCAGCCTGAATTTGTTTCATTAATTCTATTCATTTCCTGTTTTGTTGGATTCCTTTGGGTTTCTCTATGTAGTCTGATGTCATCTGCAAACAGTGTCAGTTTTACTTTGATTTGAATGCCTTTTACTTTCTTTTAAAATGTGTATGTTGTGGGTAGAAATTCTAGTACTCTGCTGAATGATAGTGGAGTGAGTGGGCATTCTTTTCTTTTTCCTCATCTTGAAGGGAAAGCTTTTTTTTCTACAATTGAGAGTGATAATAGTTGTTTATTCTTTCCTTTGTGTCCCCTGCTATAGGATTTAAAAGACCTGTACTCAGAAAACTACACAACACTGAAGAAAGAAATTAAGAACGACACAAACAAATGGAAGCATGTACCATGCTCATGGATTGGAAGAATTAACATCATCAAAATAGCCATACTACCCAAAGTACCAATGACATATTTCACAGATACAGAACCAAGATTTCCAAAATTTATATGGAACCATTAATGACCCTGAATGGCTACAACAATTGTGAGAAAGAAGAACAAAGTAGTAGGGATCACAGTACCTGATATAACACTGTATTATAAGGCCACTGTAATCAGAACAGCCTTGTACTGTCAGAAGAACAGAAACATAGACCAATGGAACAGAATAGAGAGCTCAGAAATAAATCAAAGTCTCTTTGGTTAATTAATATTTGACAAAGGGGACAAAAGCATAAAATGGAGTAAAAGTAGCCTCTTGAACAAATGGTGTTGAGAGATCTGGACAGCTACATGCAAAAAAGTGAACTGTATCACCAACTCACACCATACACAGAAATAAATTCAAGGTAAAAAAAAATTTTAAATATAAGTCATGACACCATAAATGCCCTATTAGAAAACATAGGCAGGAAAATCTCAGACATTCCATGAGGCAATATTTTCGCTGATATGTCCCCTACAGCAAGCGACATAAAGGAAAGAATAAACAAATGGAAACTCATCAAATTAAAAAGCTTCTGGATGGCTAAAGAAAACAACATTAAAACAATCTTTCTAATGTTTAAGAAACAAGTGATGTGTTTAAAAAAGAGCAGTAAAAATGAAGCATATGGCCTGTGGCCTAGTCCCACTGGGCCTTCGTTGACAAAGCCCATCTGCTTCCTCATACACCACACTGCCTTTCATGGACTATGACAGAGTAGACAGAGCATATGAGGGCCACATTGTGGGAACCCTTGCATAGTTCTTCCCTACCATTGTGCTTTGATTCCCATTCTCACATATTCTGTCACCAGGATCACTTCCCTGCATGGCATGCAGGTGTGGACCAAGTTACAGGGCAGATGGCAGGTATGTGGCCATGTTCTCATCCCATCTGGGCACAAAATTCAGGAAAAAATATGGGAACAGGCAGATGTATAAGAGACAATTAGACTCTTTGATGAGAAATAATCTAGAGTTACTCAGAAAAATGGGATGCCTTTGGGGGAGGAGGGGAAGCCAGCCAGCTTTCCCCTCCCTCACACTTTACTCCTTATTCCCTCAGTGACTGAGTGTCCCCAAGGTGACTAAGTAAAATAGTCCATAATCACATCACAGTGGTGGGAAAGTAAAAAGTAATGAAATTCACTAATATAATGATAAAGTTTTGATATCCAGAGTTCATAAAGAATGTAGAATACCAAACACCAAAAATAAGGAATCCAATTTAAAAAATTGATGAGGAAGCTGATTAAATTCTTCTCCAAAGACAACATACATGGTTAATAGACATATGGAAAGATGGCCAGTGTCATTAATCATCAGAGTGCAAATTAAATCCTGTTATATTAAAAGTCACTTAAAAAGTTTTCACAAGTGTTTTTTTCTATTTTATGAAATCTTACACCTGTTCTTTTTGATCAAGATTTTATTTATTTCATTTTCACAGAGAGAGCAAGGGAGGAAGAGAGAGAGAGAAACATGAAATGGTTGCCTCTCACATGTCCCCAACTGGAAACCTGGTCTGCAACGCAGGCATGTGCCCTGGCAGGAAAATGGACCGGTGACATTTTAGATCACAAGCTGAGACTCAAACCACTGAGCCACACCAGCCACAGCTGGTGTTTTTGTTTGTTTGGTTTGTTGTTAGGCAATGAAACTTACACATTATATCACATAGTAAATTCTTTTTTAAAAAAATATATTTTATTGATTATGCTATTACAGTTGTCCCATTTCCCCCCTTCTCTCCCCTCCACTCTGTACTCTCTCTCCCACCCACATTCCCCCCCCCTTTAGTTCATGTCCATGTGTCATACTTATGAGTTCTTTAGCTTCTGCATTTCCCGTACTATTCTTGCCCTCCCCTATCTATTTTCAACCTACATTCTATGCTACTTATTCTCTATACCTTTTCCCCCTCTCCTCCTCCCACCCCCCCCTGTTGCTAACCCTCCATGTGACCTCCATTTCTGTGGTTCTGTTCCTGTTCTAGTTGTTTGCTTAGTTTCTTTTGGTTTTGCTTTAGGTGTGGTTGTTAATAATTGTGAGTTTGCTGTCCTTTTACTATACATATTTTTTCTTTATCTTCTTTTCTTAGATAAGTCCCTTTAGCATTTCATAAAATAAGGGCTTGGTGATGATGAACTCCTTTAACTTGACCTTATCTGAGAAGCACTTTATCTGCCCTTCCATTCTAAGTGAAAGCTTTGCTGGATAGAGCAATCTGGGATGTAGGTCCTTGTCCTTCATGACTTGGAATATTTCTTTCCAGCCCCTTCTTGCCTGTAAGGTCTCTTTTGAGAAATCTGCTGACAGTCTGATGGGAACTCCTTTGTAGGTTACTGTCCCCTTATCTCTTGCTGCTTCTAGGATTCTCTCCTTCGTTTTTACCTTGGCTAATGTAATTATGATGTGCCTTGGTGTGTTTCTTCTTGGGTCCAACTTCTTTGGGGCTCTCTGAGCTTCCTGTATTTCTTGGAAGACTATTTCTTTTGCCAGGTTGGGGAAATTCTCCTTTATTATTTGTTCAAATACGTGCTCAATCTGTTGCTTTTCCTCTTCCCCTTCTGGTACCCCTATAATTCGGATGTTGGAACGTTTAAAGATGTCCTGCATGCTCTTCAGCTTCTCCTCATTTTTTTTGAATTCTTATTCCATCATGCTTTCCTACTTGGTTGATTCTATCTTCCTTCTGGTCCACTGTATTGTTTTGAGACCCAGTTTCCTTCCCTTCACTATTGGCTCTCTTCCGTGTATCTTCCTGCATCTCTTTTATGGTATCCTGCATCTTTTCATCTAATTTCCGCCCAAAATCAACCAATTCTGTGAGCTTTCTGATCACCAGTGTTTTGAACTGTGCATCTGACAGGTTAGCTATTTCTTGGTTGCTCAAAAGGATGAGTTCTGGGACACTGATTTGTTCATCTATTTGAGCCATCGCTCTCTCTTTTTTTTTTTTTTTTTTGGTCTGGTCGCTCTTGTTATGGTGAGGGGCGGAGCCTTAGGTGTTCACCAGGGCTGGGCACCCCAGTCGTTAGATTGTGATGTTATAAGTGGGGGCGGGGGCGGGAGTGGGGACGGGGAGGAAACAATGGCGGTAGTTCCATTCTCCCAGGATCTCAGTCCTCTCTCTCCGGGATCCTGGGCTGCGAGCTCTGCCCTGGTCCACAATCGCTGCCTCACTGGTTCCGCCAGCCGCAGCTTGCGTACTCAGGGACCACTGCTGCGTTCTTGTGTGCCGGATGGTTTTCGCGCTGATTTCACACCAAGTTTTCCCCGTCCTCCGCGCTGCCACCGACCCGCGCCCACCCGGCTCATCCTCTTGGCCCCGCCTACCACTCTGAACTTACGGGTCTACTTCAGCTTCTTGGCTGTCCAACTTCCATTCAGATAAATCCTCTCTCAGTTCTGAGTGTTATTATAGCTGTAAATTGTTGTTGTTCTAATCTTGGTTGTGCGAGGAGGTATGGTGCGTCCACCTATTCCTCCATCTTGCCGGAAGTCACATAGTAAGTTCTTGATAAAATCCTTTAAAAATACTTGTGATGTCAAAGTGTTTTAATGTTGCAGTTAAGGCCATCATTTATTAATTTATTAAAACATAGTACTATAAATTATAATTACTGTTCTTTAAACATTTCCTTCCATATTTAACTATCAAAAGAACCTTTTGAGTCCCGTCTATTTTTAATCTCAGGATTTCAGACAAAAATAAACAAAACATAAGCCTTCTTCCCTAAAATGACCACTTATCCCTGGCAGTTCCAAAACCTTAAACCTAGAATTGTGTATATGTGTAGCTTTTCATGTCTTCTGCAAGTGTAGCAAAAAACTCAGAGAATTTGGATAGACCTGGAAAAAGAAATGGGGTGTTTGTCAGGGGTTCTCACCAGGTTTTATACAAGTGACTCTGTAGTACCTGATGTTACAGGGTCTGGCTGCATGTCCTCTTCATGAACAAAAAATGATGGTGAAGGTCATGGTGACAGGCACCAGAGCAGGGCCAGGCCCTGTAGGGAGAACAAATAGAAGAAGACATAAATTAAGACAGACTTGGAACAAATCCAGGAGCCTGCCAGTCCTTCCTCGCTCACAAAGTAATGCTCTCAGATTAAACCTATATTCTGTGGAAACATGTGGTTTTTCTTCTGGATAGCAAAATCACTTACTTTTTTACATGGTCCTGTGATCCTTCCTTCTAGTCAGCATTTGAAAAATTCCACCAGATGCAACAAAAGCTATGAAAATACCACAAGTGACATATAGAAAATAGACATCAAATTTCTTCTATGACTGTCTGACCCTCCTACCAAAACTGATGTAAACAGATTTTTCTGCATCCTTCACTGAGTTATGCTAGTTGTCTCAGAATATGCCTGCATGTATTGGGTGTATCATATATGTAATTATATAAATGAAATGTGTTTAAAGTGGGCCTTTGGTTTTTTGCTTCCTTCAAAAGTCCTAATCTGTCCACCTCAAAACCACAAACCAAGACCACATAAAACACCTCACAAAGTCTTTGAAGGCTGATTTTCATAAACTTTGTAAAGGTCAGAATGCCCACAGTCCTGTAAGAAAAAAGGCAGAGTGATTTTTGTGTGGATAGGAAACTCATAAATTGGTCAATCACTGCAGGTCCAGCTGTACATTTGGCAGGACCAACAACCAAGCGAAAAACTGCAATGGCTGATCTGCTTAATCCATCTAAAATTATAATTTACATTCTACCACCTACATTTCATCCATATGAGAGGATATTCCCACGACACATTCTGTATGTTGGCAGAGCTACCTTGAGCTGAGGAGGTAGCCTGTGTCCAGCTCATGAAAAGCTGATCCAGAATGCACTGGGGGGTGTGGGATCCCAGAGAAGTGAACAAGTAGGCCACCACA